ACCCCTCTCGAGGATCGTAGCTCTGGCCCTACAACGGGCTCCACAGAGGCTGCACTTCGGCACACCCCTCTCGAGGATCGTGGCCCTGGCCCCACAGGGAGCTCCACCGAAACTTGATTTCGGCGCACCCCTCTCACGGATCGTGGCCCTGGCCCCACAGGGAACCCCACCGAGGCTTCATTTCGGCACACCTCTCTCGAGGATCGTAGCCCTGGTCCCACAGGGAGCTCCACCGAGGCTTGATTTCGGCACACCCCTCTCACGGATCGTGGCTCAGTGAGCTCCACCGAAACTTGATTTCGGCGCACCCCTCTCACGGATCGTGGCCCTGGCCCCACAGGGAGCTCCACCGAGGCTCGATTTCGGCACACATTTCTCGAGGATCGTAGCTGTGGCCCCACAGGGAGCTCCACCGAAGCTTGGTTTCGGCGCACCCCTCTTACGGAGCGTGGCCCTGGCCCCACAGGGAGCTCCACCGAGGTTTCACTTCGGCACACCCCTCTCGAGGATCGTAGCTCTGGCCCCACAGGGAGCTCCACCGAATGTGGATTTCGGCGCAAGCCCTCTCAGGATCGTGGCCCTGGCCCCACAGGGGCCTCCACCGAGGCTTCACTTCGGCACACCCCTCTCGAGGATCGTGGCCCTGGCCCCACAGGCAGCTCCACCGAGGCTCCATTTCGGCACACCCCTCTCGAGGATCGTGGCCCTGGCCCCACAGGGAGCTCCACCGAAGCTCGACTTCGGCACATTCCTCTCGAGGATCGTGGCCCTGGCCCCGCAGGGAGCTCCACCGAAGCTTGGTTTCGGCGCACTCCTCTCACGGATCGTGGCCCTGGCCCCACAGGGAGCTCCACCGAGGCTTCATTTCGGTACACCCCTCTCGAGGATCGTGGCCCTGGCTCAACAGGGAGCTCCACCGAGGCTTCATTTTGGCACACCCCTCTCGAGGATCGTAGCTCTGGCCCTACAACGGGCTCCACAGAGGCTGCACTTCGGCACACCCCTCTCGAGGATCGTGGCCTTGGTCCCACATGGAGCTCCACCGAAACTTGATTTCGGCACACCCCTCTCACGGATCGTGGCCCTGGCCCCACAGGGAACCCCACCGAGGCTTCATTTCGGCACACCCCTCTCGAGGATCGTAGCCCTGGCCCCATAGGGAGCTCCACCGAGGCTTGATTTCGGCACACCCCTCTCACGGATCGTGGCTCAGGGAGCTCCACTCAAACTTGATTTCGGCGCACCCCTCTCACGGATCGTGGCCCTGGCCCCACAGGGAGCTCCACCGAGGCTCGATTTCGGCACACCCCTCTCGAGGATCGGGGCCCTGGCCCCACAAGGAGCTCCACCGAAGCTTGGTTTCGGTGCACCCCTCTCACGGATCGTGGCCCTGGCCCCACAGGGGCCTCCACCGAGGCTTCACTTCGGCACACCCCTCTCGAGGATCGTGGCCTTGGTCCCACAGGGAACTCCACCGAAGTTTGATTTCGGCGCACCCCTCTCACGGATCGTGGCCCTGGCCCCACAGGGAGCTCCACCGAGGCTTGATTTCGGCACACCCCTCTCGAGGATCGTGGCCCTGGCCCCACAGGGAGCTCCACCGAAACTTGATTTCGGCACAGCCCTCTCGATGATGGTAGCTCCGGCCCTACAGGGGGCCCCACCGAGGCTTCACTTCGGCACACCCCTCTCGAGGATCGTGGCCCTGGCCCCACAGGCAGCTCCACCGAAGTTTGATTTCGGCGCACCCCTCTCACGGATCGTGGCCCTGGCCCCTCAGGGGGCTCCACCGATGCTTCACTTTCACACCCCCCAACACGAGGATCGTGGGCCTGGCCCCACAGGGAGCTCCACCGAAGCTTGGTTTCGGCGCACCCCTCTCACGGATCGTGGCCCCGGCCCCACAGGGAGCTCCACCGAGGCTCCATTTCGGCACGCCACTCTCGAGGATCGTAGCTCTGGCCCCACAGGGAGCTCCACCGAAGGTGGATTTCGGCGCACCCCTCTCACGGATCGTGGCCCTGGCCCCACAGGCAGCTCCACCGAGGCTTCACTTCGGCACACCCCTTCCGAGGATCGTGGCCTTGGTCCCACAGGGAGCTCCACCGAAGCTTGATTTCGGCGCACCCTTCTCACGGACCGTAGCCCTGGCCCCACAGGCAGCTCCATCGAGGCTCCATTTCGGCACACCCCTCTCGAGGATCGTGGCCCTGGCCCCACAGGCAGCTCCACCGAAGCTCGACTTCGGCGCACCCCTCTCACGGATCGTGCCCCTGGCCACACATGGGGGCTCCACCGAGGCTTCACTTCGGCACACCCCTCTCGAGGATCGCGGCCCTGGCCCCACAGGGAGCTCCACCGAAGCTTGATTCCGGCGCACCCCTCTCACGGATCGTGGCCTTGACCCCACAGGGAAGTTCACCGAGGCTTCATTTCGGCACACCTTTCTCGAGGATCGTGGGCCTGGCCCCACAGCGAGCTCCACCGAAGCTAGATTTCGGCGCATCCCTCTCACGGATCGTGGCCCTGGCCCCACAGGGGGTTCCACCGAGGCTTCATTTCAGCACACCCCTCTTCGAGGATCGTGGCCCTGGCCCCACAGGGAGCTCCACCGAAGCTAGATTTCGGCGCACCCCTCTCACGGATCGTGGCCCTGGCCCCACAGGGAATTCCACCGGGCCTTTCACTTCGGCACACCCCTCTCAAGGATCGTAGCTCTGGTCCCACAGGGAGCTCCACCGAAGCTTGATTTCGGCACACCCCTCTCACGGATCGTGGCCCTGGCCCCACAGGGAGCTCCACCGAGGTTTCATTTCGGCACATCTCTCTCGAGGATCGTGGCCCTGGCCCCACAGGGAGCTCCACCGAAGTTTGATTTCGGCGCACCCCTCTCACGGATCGTGGCCCTGGCCCCACAGGGATTTTCACCGAGGTTTCACTTCCGCACATCTCTCTCGAGGATCGGGGCCCTGGTTCCACAGGGTCGCTCCACCGAAGCTTGATTTCGGCGCACCCCTCTCACGGATCGTGGCCCTGGCCCCACAGGGAGCTCCACCGAACTTCATTTCGGCATCTCTCTCGAGGATCGTGGCCCTGGCCCCACAGGCAGCTCCACCGAAGTTTGATTTCGGCGCACCCCTCTCACGGATCGTGGCCCTGGCCCCACAGGGATTTTCACCGAGGTTTCACTTCCGCACATCTCTCTCGAGGATCGGGGCCCTGGTTCCACAGGGTCGCTCCACCGAAGCTTGATTTCGGCGCACCCCTCTCACGGTTAGTGTCCCTGGCCCCACAAGGAGCTCCACCGAGGCTTCATTTCGACACACCCCTCTTACGGATCGTGGCCCTGGCCTCACAGGGAGCTCCACCGAAGTTTGATTTCGGCGCACCCTTCTCACAGGAGGAGGAGGAGGGAGGCGGAACAATGAGGGGAACGACGCGGACGAGGTGTCAGAATCATGCCGCGGGGGCAAGTGGCCTGTGGGCTCGTGGCAGCCAGGCGTTCATACTTACGTTGCGTCTTGATCTGTCGATGCCAGCTCTTCTTAGCATTGAGGCGTAGCTGTTCCAACGGGTGGGATTGATCACCCGCCAATCGGGGCGAGGAGGGGGAGGACGAAGGAGGAGGAAAAGGCGGGATGGGGTAGAGAAGGAGGAAGAGCATGAGAATGAGGAGGGAAGATGAGGAGGGAGTTGGACGAGGGAGGAAGGGGAGGGATGATGATGATGATGATGATGATGATGATGATGATGATGAGGAGGAGGAGGAGGAGGAGGAGGAGGATGTGGAGGATGTGGAGGATGCGGAGGGGGATGGAGGAGGAGGGGAGGAACAGGGAGGAGGCGGGAGGCGGAGGAGTGAGGAGAAGGGAGCTGGAGCGGGTTAGGAGAAGGGAGTTGAATGGAGAGCGAGGAGGAAGAGGAGGACGACGAAGGGGGAGAAGGAATATAATGTGTGTGTCGGCGCGACGGCGACCCCAGCGCAACAACTGCAACGTGTGGCCTGGGGCAGTGCGCTCGCCCCGGGGGCGAGGACACTCCCACGGGCCCCGCCGGGGTGGCCTGAGAGAGTGTCCTTGCGATGATGTTGTTGATGATGATGATCATGATGATGATGATGATGATGATGATGATGATGATGATGATGATGCTGATGCTGATGATGATGATGCTGATGATGATGATGATGCTGATGCTGATGCTGATGCTGATGCTGATGCTGATGATGATGATGATGATGCGATGATGATGATGATGATGATGATGATGATGATGATGATGATGATGATGATGATGATGATGATGATGGTGATGGTGATGGTGATGGTGATGGTGATGATGAGCAGGATGCTGAGGATGCGCTCTTTTGGTACCCCCCTGGGGTTACCCAGAGCATGGACCCATGGAAACGCGCAACAGCCCAATAGCGTCGCAGATGCCCCGTTGTAGAGGAGGATGAGGTTGAGCAAGAGCAGCAGGCGGAACAGGAGGAGCAAGAGGAGGAGCAGGAGCATGATGAGGGGGATGATGAGAATGATGAGCAGTTGGGGGGGATGGGGATGAAGAGTAGGAGAAGGAGGAACCGTATTAGTAGGAGGTGGCCGAGCGAAGATGTGGATGAGGAGGGTTTGGAGGAGGTTTGGCATAGATTCACGGAGGGTCTCAGGAACGGGTTCATGCTTTTGAGGTAGGGCAGAACGAATTAGCCGGCCCAACGGGCCAGAGGCATGCTAAGATCTCCGGTATCTTTTTAATAATATTCTGCTTCGCGCGCGCGTGGCGGCCCCTGGGGGTCCCCGGACGAAAGGTACCATGGCCGACCCCCGGCGGATCCCCAGGCGATCCCCGGCCAGGTCACCCAGAAAGCTCCAGGGGAGGGCAATTTTTCGACACCCCTCACGAGGATCGTGGCTGCCGAGGGGGGAGCCGCAATCGATCACCCCTCCTCTCGCCCCCGCGAGCTTCCCAAGAGGCTCCAGGGGCCCCCAAGACGCCGCCAAGGAGCTCCAAGAGGCCTCCAAAAGCTCCCAAGAGGCCCATAAGGACCCCCCTCCGTAGCCATTTTGGCTCAAGCCATTTTGGTTCAAGTGGCCATTTCGGGCCTAGAGGCTATCGTCGCTCGTTTGCCAAGCACCCCAGACCTGTGCAAACGAACCGATCGGAACATTAGACGAATGGCGGAACGCAGATTGTTCCCCGTAGTGTGGTTGCTCTTCATTGTTGTTGTTGTTGTTATTTCGTTCGCATGCTCGTCGCGTGATGGTTCCATTCGCGCGTATATATTCGCAGTCAGTATCAGGGTCTCGCGGACCATTGCGCGCCCGCTTTCATCGATGCAGAGCGAAGGAGTCCCAGGTGCTGGGTGCACAGGCCCCAGGGAGAGTGCATTGCATGGCGCGAGCCAGTCGAGCAGCTCAGGGTGCACTGAAGTGATTCCGCATGGTCGCAAGGTGCTTTTGTATGGCGCTATGGGTCGGCACAATTTCGGTGATATGCTGATGCCGTGGATCGTGGAAACGATGCTGCAAAGACGCTACAGTTTCTGTCCCGACGATTTCTTGCATGCTGACGTTGCAGGCGCCGATATGCGGGCGTATGGCGGTCATCTTGTCATCGGCGTTGGTTCTTTGTTCTCCAACATGTACAATGGCTCTCTCGATGTGATCTTTTGTGGAGGGGAAACTCTCCATGACTTGTCGCTCGATAGTGCGCTGGGTTTTTTTGGAGGTGGTTTCAAAGCTTGCAATCGGGGCGACTTCATGCACAGAGGCCGCAGCCTTTCCTACTTGCTGCCCAAGGACAAGTTTGCCAAACCTGGCTTGTTCATCGCCAACACAATTGGAGGTGTAGGCACCTCAATAATCAATCAGAGCTGGTTTGACCATTGCACGCTCCGCCAAAATCTTCATCGGGCTGGCTACGAAGACTGCCTGGTGGCCCCAGACAGCGTGATCATGATCAACACTTTGTTTGGCGAATCCATATCTCTTCGCACAAACGGCCTACCAATGGGGAGATATTTCGCTTGGCAGTTCAGGACGGAAGTTCACTTTGACGATGGATTTGTTGATGCTATTTTGGCAGCGGCGAGAACGAACAACGCCAGCATCGTCATGTTCCGAGCAGGCGCTGCGCCTGGCCACGATGCTCTGAAGCCGTATGAGGCTATGAAGTCCAGGCTTGAAAACACAGACTCTTCAATTGCTGTGACCATATTCGATGGGCTCAACATTTGGGATATAAGTGCTTTAATATCCAGAGCAACGCTTTTGATTTCCACAAGTTTGCACTGCCGCATCATCGCTTTCTCCTTCTATGTGCCTCGCGTGACAGTTGTTCTGGCGCCGAATGGTAACATCGGGCAAAGCAAGCACTTCGCATTCATGAAGGACTGGGACGGGGACTGGGATTACAGTCACGATGCTTCGGATGCGCGAATTGGCCTTTCAATCCAAGAAGCTCTCCGGCCTTCGAGTAAGGTTGTCTTCGACAACAGCACGCGACGGGGCGTCGGCATATACGAGAATGTATTCAAGACGTGGGCTGACAGCCTCCACAAGGGTTGGAAATCGCATGGCAGGAGTGGACGCCAGTGAGAACAATACGGACCGACATGTTCATGGTTTGGAGTGCGCATTCTTGCCATCTGTCTCATCACCATACATACGTAATTTGGAGTGACTGTATTATTAGTGGGGAAACAATGAGGCCCATAAGGACCCCACAAGAGGCTTCAAAGTCGCTCCCATGTGCTCCAAAGAGGCCCCATCCGCCCCCAAAAGCGCTCCTAAGAAGCTCCGCCCGCTCCCAAGAGCCTCCCAAGAGGCTTCACGGGCCTTTCAAGACGCCGCCTCGGAGCCACAAGAAGCCCTACAGAAGCCCCCAAGAGGCCCCCAAGACGCCCCCAAGAGAACCCACAGGCTTCAAGACGTTCCCGAGACGCCTGCCAAGATACTCTTGCAACGCCGAATTCATGTCGAGCCGAAACAGCGCACCGCCAAATCGTGAGCGAGAGCTCTTTAAGCTGCGGCCCTTCTTACCCTGGCTTCGTGAAGTCACTCGAGCTTTCACGACGTCAAAGGCGACCCAAGAGGCCCCCAAGCTCGTCCCAATACGGCCCAAGAGGCCCCCAAGAGGGCCCAACACCGCCCCAGAGGGCCCCCCGACTCGCGGATCCTTACAGGGTCCTGCACGATTCCATCGGAACCCTAGAGGGATCCTATAGGATCCTTACAGGGTCCTGCACGATTCTATAGGAACCCTAGAGGATTCCTATAGGATCCTTACAGGGTCCTGCACGATTCCATAGGAACCCTATACGAATCCTGTAGGATCCTTACAGGGTCCTTTACGATTCCATAGGGACCCTACAGGGATCCTATAGGATCCTTGCAGGGTCCAACAGGATCCCATAGAAACCCTATAGGAGTCCTATAGGGTCCCTACAGGGTCCTGCACGATTCCATCGGAGCCCTAAGAGGGATCCTATAGGGTCCCTACAAGGCCCAACAGGATCCCATCGGAACCCTATATGGGGTCCTATAGCATCCGTACAGGGTCCTGCACGATTCCATAGGAATCGTATATGGATATTATAGGATCCTTGCAGGGCCCCGCACGGTTCCATCGGAACCCTGGAGGGATCCGATAGGATCCTTACAAGGTCCAACAGGATCCCATCGGAACCCTATAGGGATCCTATAGGATTCTTACAGGGTCCTGCACGATTCCATAGGGACCCTATGGGGATCCCATAGGATCCTTACAGGGTCCTGCACGATTTCATAGGAACCCTATGGGGATCCCATAGGATCCTTACAGGGTCCTGCACGATTCCATAGGAGTCCTATAGGGATCCTATAGGATCCTTACAGGGTCTCTACGATTCCATAGGAGTCCTAACAGGAGGAGGAGCTGGCCTCGCTGGCGCGTGGTCGGTTTTCGGACACAGGAGTGCGTGGGGAACAGTAAGGGAGCCAACGGAGATTCGGAAACACATATAGATTTACGTTAGCGTATGACAGAGGTGTTGCGCGTTGCTCCCCCCCCCCCGGGGCAACAACTGTTGTTGTTGTTGTTGTTGTTGTTGTTGTTGTTGTTGTTGTTGTTGTTGTTGTGATTTGCGCTTTTTCGATCAGTGACGTTGCAATATTGCATTTTGCGGCGCGCTTTCAAAACTGTTGCCTGCTGCCTCCGTCGAAACCTCAACCAAGTAAGAGGTGCCAGCCTCAAATGCTGCCCGCCTCTTCGATCATGGCCAACATACCAGACATATACAAGTCTATATTGCTGGAAGGCGGCAAGCGGCGCGATGCGTTGTGTCAAACATTGCAACGGAAGGTTTTTCAATTTTTGGTCTGCCTCCGGGGGCCTTCGCCAGGACTCGGGATCTTCAAAAAACGGATCGGGATGAAAAATCGGTCCTAGGTGAGGGGCCCGTGTCTCGAAAACATCGAGACACTCCTTTTCCCTTCAGCTCCCATCTTCTGGCCCTGGCTCCCATCCGTATTCGGCTCCGATCCCCGTTGCCCCGACTCGGGTTCCGGGCGTTCCGACTTCGAGCCAGTCACCAGTATTCGTTGCTCCGTTTCTGGCTCCCATCTGTTCGACTCAGGCTCCGATCTTCCGGCTCCAGCTCACACCTTCTCGTCTCTCCGTCTCCAGCTCCTGCCGCTACGACTCCGGCTCCGACCTTCGCTCCGACATCAACGCTGGCTCCGACCCTGGTACTCGCTCCCCTTCTGACGCTTGCTTGCCAACCCTTCTCCGACTCCCATTCGACTTTGGCGAAGACTCTGGCGTCGACTCCTACGCATGAGGCCCGGGTCTGGCAAGAGACGGGCTCTGGCGCTTCCCCCCTCACCAACTCCGACTCCCACTCCAGCTCGCTGGACTTACAACACGGGCATTCTATATGTCACCATTCATTGGCGGTGAGCCTTTGGGCGGCGAGCCGAGGGGGGAAGTGAGAAGGGGCGGGCCCACTCAGAAGTCCTGGAAGTCCCCCGGCCCTCTTGAGAAGTTTTCTGAGCCTTCCCAGAATACAGAAGAGAACCTCTCAGACTGCGCGATGGCTTCCGAGAAGTCCCGCCGCATTCTGAGAAGGTCTTCTCCTTCTCACTTCCCCCCCTCGCTCGCCGCCAACCTTTGTCTTTCTGGTGTTGGTGAGCACGTCCTTCTTGAGCTACGGTTACGTCGGTCATGTCCCCCTACAGGAGGAGTTTTCAAGAATAGTCCAAAATTTTTCAGGGGACGGCCTTTCTATTTTTTCAAACAATCTTCTTCCCAAACCCGCCTGTAGGAGGACCTGCCCGACTTGAAGCTCCGGACACGTCCTTCGGGTCTCGTCCGACTCCAGGTTCAATTTTCGGAAGCTGGAACATATATATATATATTACCAGTGGCGGGCTGCTTTTCCATCCAAGGACTTTTCGAGGATGACGACGTCGGGGTGGCGTGATGTGTACTTTTTGTCTCCGTTTCCCGAGGAAACAACGAAACATGTATACACCAGGATCCCGCGCGCACAAACCTCGCGCGGAATCGTCAGAATACTGACTTCCATCAGAAAAGTACGTCCTAAGATACACTATTTGTAAATCTTGCTCCTCTGTGGCCTAATCTCGCCTGTCTGCTGCCTCCAGCTCAATGCATGTGATCATTCCATATCGATTGATTCGTATATATACCATGACCCGCTTTCCTGTGCAAATTTCAGTGTAGGGCCGGACAAAGCGGCGGTTCCCTACATCTCTCCGACTCTGGGGGAGGAGGGGGAGGAGGAGGGAGGAGAAGGAGTCGGGAGGAGGAGGAGGAGGAGAAGGGAGAGGAAAGGAGGAGGAGGAGGCGAGGAGGAGGAGGAGGAAAGTGTATAGAGTTCGGCCCCCTACCTCTCTCCGACGCCGGCTCCCGCGACCCCCCGCCCCCTAAACGGGACCCTTAAGATCCCTGGCCCTGGCGGCTCCCTGGACGCCCTGCCGAAGGTCCCCCGGGCTTTTGGGAGCTCCTGGAAGCCCATGCTGGGCCCAGGCAGCGGGCCCAAGTCGGTCAAGAGGGCGGCCGAACGGCCCCCCGAGGGCTCCAAGAGGCCCCAAACACCCACCAGACGCCGGAAGACGGCCCAAAGAACACCCCCAAGAGGCTTCCGAAATGCAGAAAAGCATTGCTTTCCAATTGTTTTTGTGTATGATTTTGGGAATGCTCTGTTCTTCCGTCTTCCAGGCGTCCGAGACCGCCTAAAGGCCCGAAAATCACGCGAAAACTATCCGCAAGGGCTTCGAGGCAGTCCAAGAGACGCCCAAACGGCCCAACAGGGCCCCAAGACGGCCCGAGGAGGGCCCCATGACAGCCCAAGATGGCCCCAAGACTCCGCCCGAAGCATTCCAATTCGTAACCCGGCCGTCCAGGGAGACCGCAGTTGGAAGCAGGGTGGCCCGAGGAATCCCCCAGAGGCCCCCAGAAGGCGCCCAGGGGGCCTCCAGAAGGCTCCAAGAAGCCCTATCAAACTTTCATGATGCCCCCAAGAAGCTGTCCAAGGAGGAGCCTCCGCAAAAAGGGCAGAGGAGGATGGGGAATAATTCGTAGGGGAGGGCGAGAATGAGGAAGAGGAAGATGACACACGACGGAAGGACACCGAAACACATTATTATGACGACGATGCTGGACAAGGCAACGAGGAGTTATCGCCGTTTGTTCTGCTTTACCTTCCTGCCCTGCCGCCGCGACTTCCGCCCGCATACCAATCTTCAAGGACCAAGGTGCATGGCGCGAAGTGCCAATGCTGTCTTGTATATAGATAGGTAAATCTACACATGTCGGTTCGATTCTGTCTCGATTCTGCCTTCCTCTTGCTCCTCCCTCGTCCTCCCTCCTTCCCCCTTCCTCCTCCCCGTGGCCGTGGCCGTGGCCGTGGCCGTGGCCGTGGCGTGGCCGTGGCCGTGGCCGTGGCCGTGGCCGTGGCCGTGGCCGTGGCCGTGGCCGTGGCCGTGGCCGCCCCCCCCCTGGCTCTGGCACAGGTCGGGCGGCCGAGGGGTTCGCCGCCCGAGTGGCGCCCACGCAGACGGGGCCGTCGTCGCCGACGTCGGCGCGCCAGCTGCCTGCGCGTGCGCTGGTCGTCGAACGTAGGCACTTGGATTTTCGGATCCCAAGCTGCATCATGCGCCTTCACCTCCTCCTCCTCCTCCGCCTCCTCCTCCTCCTCCTCCTTCTCCTCCTCCTCCTCCTCCTCCTCCTCCTCCTCCTCCTCCCCCTCCACCTTCTCCTTCTCCTCCTCCGCCCCCCTTCCTTGAAAATAACTCCTCCCTGTCGCACCCCCGAACGTGTCGGTAGGGCGGGCTGGGCATTCTCCTGCTTCAATGATCGAGTGCTCTCGTATTTTCCTTCCTCTTCAGGGGGCGGGCGGAAGCCCTATGTACTTCCAGCGCTTACTTACTTCGTGTTTCTACCTACCTCTTCCGACCGAGGGGGCGCCCTGTGCGTGAGGTCGCGCGTGAGCGCCCTCGCTTTCAGTGCAGCGTGCCGCGCTGGCGGCCCGCGTAAGCCACCGCGAAAGGTCGCGATGCCATGTCGCGCAAGGCCCGTCTCTTTTCGTCGCTCGCCTGCCCACCCCTGTCCCCGGCCCAGCCCCGCGTCTTCCCCTCGCCCCCCCCCCCCCCTCCACCACCCCTGCATAGCCGCCGCCCTCCGTGCCGCCGACGGCTGACGCTCTATCCTCCCCCTCCCTGTTCGGTCTTCCCCCCTCCCTCGGGGG